GTTTTTGTTGTGTTGTATGTTAGTGTGCAGTGTGTGTTTTTTCTTTATACAATATTTAAGAACAAAATAACGTACCTTTATGACAATAATATAGCTAGTTTTCGCATTGGTTTAGTACCATATAAAAATTGATAAGTACATAAGTATATACTAAATAAAACTAATTTTACGGATTCTATCGCGTATATTAACTTATTTTTATATATTCCCGACGTTTCGGGTGCTTTCCAGCACCCGTGGTCACGGGGGACTGAGTTGTTTGACGTCCTGCTGTCATAGTTAGCCCGGCTACCTTCAGTTTTTTAATATTAATTTTTGGTTCGATTTACGCAGAATGAGCTTACAGTATCTTGAAGTCTAGCAGTGGTATACTTGGGTTTGGATTTGATTTTATTAATAATGGGATCCCAAGCAGATGGCAGCACCCATCCATCTTCTCTATTGAAATTAGGATGTTTTTTAATTTCAATAGCCTCGCGAATCATCCTTGGGAGGAATCGGTGTTCTTTTGCGAGGATTTGTGGTCTATCAAATCTAATGTAATGGCGGGGACGATCTTGAACATGTTCACAAACTGCAGACTTCCCGATACGTCGGTGCTTCACGTCAGCTATATGTTCTTTAACGCGGGTTTTAATAGATCTTTTTGTTTGTCCTATGTACGAGAGACCACATTCACAATCCAGCTTGTACACTCCTGCATCTTGTAGAGGGATTTGACACTTGACGGATGGTAAAAATTGACTAATCTTCTTCAGCGGCTTGAAGTACGTTTTAATGGAAGCTCGCTTCAAGATGTAGCCAACCTTGTCTGTGACTCCTCTGACATAGGGTAGTACAGCAGGCACACGCTCGACTGTGGCTGGCTTCACTCGGTCACTGTGACGTAGGCGCGGGACCCGAAGCTTGTTGTCTTGCAGTACTTGCTCGACGTGCTGAAGCTCGGCGGCCAGATGTTTTCTGTCACAGATCCCTCGTGCTCTCTGAAACAAAGATTTTCCCACGGTAGCTAACTGTGAAGGATGATGGTGAGATTCACCATTTAAATATCGGTTGGTATGGGTATTTTTTCTGTACACAGTATGACCAATAGTGTTATCAGGATTTCGGATGACTAAAACATCTAGAAAAGCTAAAGTATTGTTTGCCTCTAACTCCATTGTGAATTGTATTTTAGGGTTTATGGAATTAAGGTGGTTTAAAAATGCAGTTACTTTGTCAGATGGTAAAATTGTGAAAGTATCGTCTACGTACCGCTTGTAGAATCTTGGATTTACAGGAGCAGTAAGAAGGGCTTTCTCCTCAAAGTCCTCCATGAATATGTCGGCGACTACGGGAGATACAGGTGAGCCCATTGCCACTCCGTCTACTTGCATGTAGAACTCTTCTTTCCACAATAAATAGCCAGATGTGAGGCAGTGTTTGAGTAATACTGCATATTCTGTAGGCATGTTGTTATCTTCTAGCTTTCTAGTAACAATTGAGATGCAGTCTTCAATAGGTAGGCATGTGAATAGTGACTGAACATCAAAACTGACCATAGTTTCATTGTCAGCGAGATGTAGGTCTTTAATCTCACTAACAAAATGGTATGAATCCTTTGTGTGTGCTCTGGTATGTCCTCTTAGTGGTGACAGTATTTTTGCCAAGTGTTGAGCCAACTTATAAGTTGGTGAATCGATCTGGCTTACTATAGGACGTAGTGGAGCGTTTGGTTTGTGTATTTTCGGTAACCCATACAACCTCGGTGGTTTGGCACATGATGGTATTGTCGAATTCACGTCAAGATCTAATTTTTCGGAGTATTTCTTTATTAAATCAGTAGTTGTTTTGAGTGTATTAGTTGTAGGGTCTATTTTGACCTTTTTGTATGTACTTACGTCCGATAAAAGTTGTTGTATTTTGAAATTATACTCTGACGTGTCCATTATTACCGTAGCATTTCCTTTATCCGCGCGGAGAATAGTGAGCTCTGGTCTGTTGCGTAAGTTGTACAACGCTTTAAATTCGTCTTTGGAAAGATTTAGTTTCGGCGCTGAACTTCGACGTAACAAGGACGAAATGTCTTGACGTATAGCCTCTAAATCCTCTTTACCGATATTATTCTTAAACAGACAATCCTCAACGCTACAGATAATTTCTTCGTACGGGATTTTTTGCGGCGTTATAGCAAAATTTAAGCCTTTCGACAATACATTTATTGTAGGTTCGTCCAGTGTATCTTTTGACAAATTATAGACCGTGCGTTGTTTATTGTTTGCGTCTGTGGTCAACGGTCGTTGCGTTTCGTTTCTACGTTGACATGGATGTTTGGCATTTGATTTGATAGTTAATTTTTGGTATTTTTCTATTTGTTTGTCTTTGCATTCATTGTATTTCGATATTTCGCGTTTGTTTAAAGTTTCAATGCAACACATTTCACATGCCTACCTATTGAAGACTGCATCTCAATTGTTACTAGAAAGCTAGAAGATAACAACATGCCTACAGAATATGCAGTATTACTCAAACACTGCCTCACATCTGGCTATTTATTGTGGAAAGAAGAGTTCTACATGCAAGTAGACGGAGTGGCAATGGGCTCACCTGTATCTCCCGTAGTCGCCGACATATTCATGGAGGACTTTGAGGAGAAAGCCCTTCTTACTGCTCCTGTAAATCCAAGATTCTACAAGCGGTACGTAGACGATACTTTCACAATTTTACCATCTGACAAAGTAACTGCATTTTTAAACCACCTTAATTCCATAAACCCTAAAATACAATTCACAATGGAGTTAGAGGCAAACAATACTTTAGCTTTTCTAGATGTTTTAGTCATCCGAAATCCTGATAACACTATTGGTCATACTGTGTACAGAAAAAATACCCATACCAACCGATATTTAAATGGTGAATCTCACCATCATCCTTCACAGTTAGCTACCGTGGGAAAATCTTTGTTTCAGAGAGCACGAGGGATCTGTGACAGAAAACATCTGGCCGCCGAGCTTCAGCACGTCGAGCAAGTACTGCAAGACAACAAGCTTCGGGTCCCGCGCCTACGTCACAGTGACCGAGTGAAGCCAGCCACAGTCGAGCGTGTGCCTGCTGTACTACCCTATGTCAGAGGAGTCACAGACAAGGTTGGCTACATCTTGAAGCGAGCTTCCATTAAAACGTACTTCAAGCCGCTGAAGAAGATTAGTCAATTTTTACCATCCGTCAAGTGTCAAATCCCTCTACAAGATGCAGGAGTGTACAAGCTGGATTGTGAATGTGGTCTCTCGTACATAGGACAAACAAAAAGATCTATTAAAACCCGCGTTAAAGAACATATAGCTGACGTGAAGCACCGACGTATCGGGAAGTCTGCAGTTTGTGAACATGTTCAAGATCGTCCCCGCCATTACATTAGATTTGATAGACCACAAATCCTCGCAAAAGAACACCGATTCCTCCCAAGGATGATTCGCGAGGCTATTGAAATTAAAAAACATCCTAATTTCAATAGAGAAGATGGATGGGTGCTGCCATCTGCTTGGGATCCCATTATTAATAAAATCAAATCCAAACCCAAGTATACCACTGCTAGACTTCAAGATACTGTAAGCTCATTCTGCGTAAATCGAACCAAAAATTAATATTAAAAAACTGAAGGTAGCCGGGCTAACTATGACAGCAGGACGTCAAACAACTCAGTCCCCCGTGACCACGGGTGCTGGAAAGCACCCGAAACGTCGGGAATATATAAAAATAAGTTAATATACGCGATAGAATCCGTAAAATTAGTTTTATTTAAAATGTGTAGTGTTCGCGTAAATATAAGAAATCATTATGTAAACCAGTACGGACTGGTAATTGCAAATAAAATTCGCCGATTAGAAGATATCATGACCAAGCGCGCAAGATATGTAACAGCATTGAACTTTCTAAAGCGGTGCCGCGATCACCATCTCATTCCAACGTGCGTCAAAATATCTACTAAAAAGGACATTCGAGGAAGCGCTAAGATCTTAAATCAGGCAAGTAAAAGGTTGTTACGAACGGTGATTCAGCAAAAACGGTTCGATTTACAAATCATAAATAATACCATAGACAATTTGTCCAGTGAATTAAAGACAGTTTTAACGACATTTGATTTTAATAATTGCATTGAAACTTTAAACAAACGCGAAATATCGAAATACAATGAATGCAAAGACAAACAAATAGAAAAATACCAAAAATTAACTATCAAATCAAATGCCAAACATCCATGTCAACGTAGAAACGAAACGCAACAACCGTTGACCACAGACGCAAACAATAAACAACGCACGGTCTATAATTTGTCAAAAAATACACTGGACGAACCTACAATAAATGTATTGTCGAAAGGCTTAAATTTTGCTATAACGCCGCAAAAAATCCCGTACGAAGAAATTATCTGTAGCGTTGAGGATTGTCTGTTTAAGAATAATATCGGTAAAGAGGATTTAGAGGCTATACGTCAAGACATTTCGTCCTTGTTACGTCGAAGTTCAGCGCCGAAACTAAATCTTTCCAAAGACGAATTTAAAGCGTTGTACAACTTACGCAACAGACCAGAGCTCACTATTCTCCGCGCGGATAAAGGAAATGCTACGGTAATAATGGACACGTCAGAGTATAATTTCAAAATACAACAACTTTTATCGGACGTAAGTACATACAAAAAGGTCAAAATAGACCCTACAACTAATACACTCAAAACAACTACTGATTTAATAAAGAAATACTCCGAAAAATTAGATCTTGACGTGAATTCGACAATACCATCATGTGCCAAACCACCGAGGTTGTATGGGTTACCGAAAATACACAAACCAAACGCTCCACTACGTCCTATAGTAAGCCAGATCGATTCACCAACTTATAAGTTGGCTCAACACTTGGCAAAAATACTGTCACCACTAAGAGGACATACCAGAGCACACACAAAGGATTCATACCATTTTGTTAGTGAGATTAAAGACCTACATCTCGCTGACAATGAAACTATGGTCAGTTTTGATGTTCAGTCACTATTCACATGCCTACCTATTAAAGACTGCATCTCAATTGTTACTAGAAAGCTAGAAGATAACAACATGCCTACAGAATATGCAGTATTACTCAAACACTGCCTCACATCTGGCTATTTATTGTGGAAAGAAGAGTTCTACATGCAAGTAGACGGAGTGGCAATGGGCTCACCTGTATCTCCCGTAGTCGCCGACATATTCATGGAGGACTTTGAGGAGAAAGCCCTTCTTACTGCTCCTGTAAATCCAAGATTCTACAAGCGGTACGTAGACGATACTTTCACAATTTTACCATCTGACAAAGTAACTGCATTTTTAAACCACCTTAATTCCATAAACCCTAAAATACAATTCACAATGGAGTTAGAGGCAAACAATACTTTAGCTTTTCTAGATGTTTTAGTCATCCGAAATCCTGATAACACTATTGGTCATACTGTGTACAGAAAAAATACCCATACCAACCGATATTTAAATGGTGAATCTCACCATCATCCTTCACAGTTAGCTACCGTGGGAAAATCTTTGTTTCAGAGAGCACGAGGGATCTGTGACAGAAAACATCTGGCCGCCGAGCTTCAGCACGTCGAGCAAGTACTGCAAGACAACAAGCTTCGGGTCCCGCGCCTACGTCACAGTGACCGAGTGAAGCCAGCCACAGTCGAGCGTGTGCCTGCTGTACTACCCTATGTCAGAGGAGTCACAGACAAGGTTGGCTACATCTTGAAGCGAGCTTCCATTAAAACGTACTTCAAGCCGCTGAAGAAGATTAGTCAATTTTTACCATCCGTCAAGTGTCAAATCCCTCTACAAGATGCAGGAGTGTACAAGCTGGATTGTGAATGTGGTCTCTCGTACATAGGACAAACAAAAAGATCTGTTAAAACCCGCGTTAAAGAACATATAGCTGACGTGAAGCACCGACGTATCGGGAAGTCTGCAGTTGGTGAACATGTTCAAGATCGTCCCCGCCATTACATTAGATTTGATAGACCACAAATCCTCGCAAAAGAACACCGATTCCTCCCAAGGATGATTCGCGAGGCTATTGAAATTAAAAAACATCCTAATTTCAATAGAGAAGATGGATGGGTGCTGCCATCTGCTTGGGATCCCATTATTAATAAAATCAAATCCAAACCCAAGTATACCACTGCTAGACTTCAAGATACTGTAAGCTCATTCTGCGTAAATCGAACCAAAAATTAATATTAAAAAACTGAAGGTAGCCGGGCTAACTATGACAGCAGGACGTCAAACAACTCAGTCCCCCGTGACCACGGGTGCTGGAAAGCACCCGAAACGTCGGGAATATATAAAAATAAGTTAATATACGCGATAGAATCCGTAAAATTAGTTTTATTTAAAATGTGTAGTGTTCGCGTAAATATAAGAAATCATTAAGTATATACTACCTAATATAGTATAATTTATTTCAAATTTATAAGTCTAATTCTGAACTAACAATAATGTGTGGTAATGTATCGTTTTGGCGAATATATATTTTGCAGTTTTTTATCCAGACTTACATATAGCCTATCTCGGTGGCTATCTCACGACACTTTTTGTGTAACTTCTTGTCTAGAGTTAAGTGCTCGTTAACAAATATTGTTTTGTGTTCACCTCCATGCCCGAGATTTCCAGTGGTGATGCCACGATGTTTTTAACGTCAGGAATGAGGTTATCCTTGTAAATACCGGAGCGCATTTTAATAATATTACGAGGTCGACGTCTAACGGGATTTTTAGCTTGCACTATTGTGCAGCTTTCTATATCTTTAGTGTTCATCACAACAACCACTTTTTCTGCTATGCGTAATACAATACTGGTTAGATCTTCATTTTTACTTTCTGGTACTTACACAACTTCTACATTCAATTGACGTGCCTACTATTCTTATCTTCGGTTTTCCAAGGAAAACTTATCTAATATCACTTGCATTTCCGTGATTTCACGACTTTGTATCTTAAGATTTTCTTCGGAAGAATTTGCACGTTCCTGTAGGATATCAATGCGCTTGGATGAGAATTCCAAGGAAATTTGCATTTCGGTGATTGCGCCAGCCGTGGCCTGTTGAGTGGAGTGTATAGCAGTTAAAGTATTCTTAATAGTTACTTGGTACTGAGAAAGAATGTCTAATATATATTTCAGATTACATAGTTGTTCATTTAATGACGATACTTCTTCATATATTTTTTTTAATATTCTCATCCCGCGAAGTTTTGAAATCGATAAGAAACGACATCATCTCTTTCCTAAAGTCATTTAATTCTATTTTCGTTGTTTTTTCTGGTTGTTTTCTTTTTGATCCTCGAAGGGTAGTATTGCGTTGCTGTGTAACCTCAGTATCACATTTCGCAAGATCTGGCTGGCAGCTATCAAGACCAACTTTAGCCACAAACGGAGATCTTTGAACCTTCATAATGTATGAGAACCAGTTTAATGAGGTCTGTAATGCAGTTGTTTCGAATTTCGAGTAGGATAAAAAATTAAGAGCCTGTGCTTTTTATTCGAGGGGGTGAGGTGTGAGGATTCACTTAGTTAAAAAGACTGCTAAACAGTTCGCACAAATTATGACAGAGTTAAATTACTTACCTAGTGCACGAAATTGTCGTCTTTACTTTAGACTTTAAAGATATTTTTTGATTGTAGCCACGTTTAGATAAAATTAGAATGACAAGTAACACGTCAGTACTAACGCTAGGTAACTAACGTGATAACATAAATTAAATCTACTCATTTTGCAAATAAACTATATTATAATTTATAATATGTTTAATAATTGCAAAATAATCAGGATACGAGTACCATTAACAGAATGGCATGATGAGAGAGTACGAGCGATTTATAAGTAATCAAATACGACGACTTTTTTTTCATTTATAAACTTCCGCGCGCGGCTTTTTAAACTCGCGCGCCTTTTTAAACTCGCGCCCCTAGGCACGTGCCTAGTTTGCCTTAAGGATAATCCGCCACTGTCCGGAGGTAGCTCTCATCATAACTTACAAAACGAGCCCAAACTCAGCACACCTATTACTACTACTACTCTTTGAGGAGTTGCAATAGCAGATATCGAAGTACAGGTCTCTATAAAGTTCAAGATGCATAAGTATATTTATATATAAATCCTACGTACTTTTAGCGAAATAAAATATTGTGATAAACTATCTGTTTATAAAAATAATAATAAAATTTTATCTTGATCAATTGTGTATCAAATTTGGTTTTTGTAATATTATGTATTTCTACAGCGATCGATATTTTCCAGCACGAACCGCTGTAAACAAACGACTATTCATAACGGCGGCTGAGCCCGGAGTAAAAATTTATTATGTGGCCCAGGGTGAGGCAAAGTGTATTAAGTAAAGTAAATTAATACAAAGCTGCTCAAAAAACTGCAAATTTCGCTATTTCTCAGCCGAACAAATTAATTATATTTAATTAAAACAAAATTAAACTGCCATTTATATTCCATGGCTTCCTAGATGATAGATGAAGAGTTTAAAAAATAGGTTGAGTTGAATAATTGATATTTTCAAAAGTTATCGCGTTTACCCCTCCATGCGGACTTGATAAATCTACACCTTATGCCACTTAAACCGCTTTTTTATCTAAAAATAGCAATTGAATGATTTAAAAAAAATAAGTGCAACAATCATTTATTTTTCTGACAATGTGCTTTTTATATCATTTATATGTTCAATATGATTGTTTGAAACGATTTCATGCGACAAAAGTTGGAATCTTGATTTTCAGGCGCTAGTAGAAAATATCTACGGTTTATAGTATGCAATAAAATTATGGTATTCTTACAAAAGTACGATTGAAATGATGGCGTCAATTACGAATATTGTCACCTGCTAACTGCTACACTGAAGCTATTGATTCATTTGGAAATTCATTGGTACAAGCCGGTCATAATTTGATCTTGTCCGATAAAACGGTTAAGAAAAATTAATAATTTCAAATGTGGTAAGGCTGCGGGACTAGACAGAGTTACTGCTGAAATGGTCAAGTATGGTGGGCCTCGCGTCTGGGACAGCTTTCATCTGCTGTGCAATTTGTGCTGGCGGACGGGGGATGTCCCGGATGATTGGCGATCCGCAGTCATTGTGCCTTTATATAAAGGTAAAGGTTCACATTTTGACTGCGGGTGCTATCGGGCGATCAGCTTGACCAGTTTAGCAAGTAAAGTTTACTCGAAGGTTTTGACACGTAGGATGCAAGAGAAATCGGAAAGATTTCTATGGGAGGCACAATGCGGATTTAGACCTGGAAGAGGATGCACGGATCAAATGTTTTCTCTCCGTATGATCACGGAAAAGCTTCTGGCTGTTAACCAGAAGATTTTCTGTGCTTTTGTGGATCTTGAGAAAGCATTTGATAAGGTTGTAAGGAAGAAAATGTGGGAACTGTTGCCGGGGTATGGTGTGGATGGCCGATTGCTAAGGGCTGTGCAGTCTCTTTACTGTGACTGTAAAGCCTGTGTGCGGGTAGGGCATGACCTGTCACCCATGTTTAGCGTCCAAACGGGCGTAAAACAGGGTTGTGTCATGTCTTCCTGGCTGTTCATACTGTATCTCGACAGCTGTTTACAAAAGCTGAAAGATAGCTGTTTGGGTGTGAAATTGGGTGACATAAAAGTAAATTGTCTGCTGTATGCTGATGATGCAGTGCTTATTGCACCATCAGAGGCAGAACTGCAGGCATTAGTCACGTGTATGAAAGAGGAATGTGAAATTAAAGGTCTCCGTTTGAATGCTAATAAAACTAAGGTTCTGGTATTTGAAAGGGACGAAGAGAGAACGAAGTGTGAAATATGGGTAAATCAGGAATGTCTAGAACAGGTAAATGAAATTGTATACTTGGGGAGTGCTTTTAGCCGGGATGGAAGATGTGATTTAGATGTGGACAGGCGTGTCGCTGCCGGGAACAAAGTCAATGGTGCCCTGACTGCGTTAGTCAAAAGGCAAGGCGTAGCGAAGAGTGCACGCCTTGCAATACATAACGCAGTGTTGGTACCGACTTTGTTATATGGCAGCGAAACCTGGGTATGCCAGAAGAAGCATAAAAGTAAGTTGAATGCAGTGGAGATGCGATCTCTTCGTAAAATGTGCGGCGTTACTATGGCCGACCGAAAGCGAAACGAAGAGATTCGCAATATGGCAGGTTTGAAAGATGACCTTATCACAAAAATTGATAAGGGCGTGCTTCGGTGGTTTGGGCACGTTGAGCGAATGAGTGAAGACCGAATGGTGAAGAAAATATATAGCGCGAAAGTTAATATTAAAAGGTGTCAAGGTAGACCGAGACTAACTTTCGAAGACCATGTGAGCAAATTGCTCGAAGAGGGTAGGGTCAAGAGTACTCGGATACCTAGACGTGCATGTATGAAGAAGATAATGAATCTGAAAGAGGCGAAAGAGATATGTAAGGATCGTGACACTTGGCGATCTGTTCTTTCTGGCTACCCCGTCAGGGATTGTGCGTGAAGATAAGTTAAGTTAAGTTTTAATAATTTCAAATAATTTTGGCTAATTCTAAAACTTGAATCAAGAACTCATAACTTCTCAGATATTCTAATGTCATAAATAAAAAGTTTGTAACTGAATTTCATTTGCGGATTGTATATATTAATAATGTGTATATAAAACTTAGTGTAAGCATAAGTTGGACCGCTCAGAGTTGGTCTCAGCGGATATATCGCTCAAGTTTTGACAGTTGCACTCGTAGTTATATTCCTGTTCAACTGTTCCTGTCAATTTCCATGGGACCTTCTATTACAAACATTAATACGCAAATAAATATACATATATTGACGTCTTCTACTCACACGCACTCCTCTATGTGATTTATAAAGTAATAAAATTTGTCTCGTTATTGGCAGGGGAAGCACCACGTTCTTACAGAATACACGCCTAAAAAAGCAGCTTTAATAATATAATTATTATTTTATTAAAACTAGCTGTACCCCGCGACTTTGTCCGCGTGTAACTTAGGGTTTTAATTATGTTGCGTGGAACCCTAATTCTTTTTCTAAAATATAAGTACCTAACCCCGTCAAAATCGGCCCATCCGTTTCGAAGGTTAGCCGAAACAAACAGACAGACAGAAAGACAAAAACTTTAAAAATTGTTTTTACGTTATAAGTACTGTAAGGATTGAGGGTAATATAATAAAGAAAAAATAATAAGAATTCAGTGTGGAAC